ACGGGCTAACTGGGTAGGCAAACCCGCAACACTGTTGCGCATTCTCAGTTACACCCGGTACATGGCTTTTCTTGCTCCTTCACTCCACCGCCCGCACCCCTCTACCGGGCAGCCCAGACAGCATCGCGACGGACCTCGGAGCGGGGTAGGAGGGTGAGGGGGATTGTGTAATTGTTCGTTTGCCTCATGGACACACACTGCCGTGTTGTCGCCCGATCGAGCAGGGGCGGCAGGCCGGCAGGACAGAGCAGAGTCCCCCTGAGCAAACCTCGTCCTCGTTGCAATGCACACACAGACGGCCCTTGCGCCGTAGGCTCGTCCGAGCGAATGCACCGCGTCCCTGTCGTCGTCCCCTCTTCACGGAGGAGGAGAGTTTATTCGAAAGGCCGGGATGCTAATTTTGAGCCCAATCAAATGATGCGTAGACCTCCTGCTAGGCAGCTGGCGTTTGTTTCCCTTCACAACAAAACTAACAGTCGAGCCTCAACGTCAAACTCCTCGCCGTCGCCGACCTCCTAGCCCCCGTCACCTTCCTGCCCCCCCCCTCTCTCCACCGCATATCGCTGGCTCTCAATTACGGCGAAGCCTGCGGTCCAGGACGCCTGATCCGATCTCAGCCGCACCGCCGCCAACTCCTCTACCAGGACGGCGGCATTCATGTTTCCCCGAAAGATGATCCCGGTCGAAGTCCCCCTCCTCCTCCCCCGACCGGCGCCGCCCTTCCCAATCATCGTGTACATGGTAATTGTTTCGGCAGAAAAGACGGATTCGTGATTGTTTTTTTCTCCCCCCCCCCCTTTTCCCCTATGATCCGATAAAACACACTTATTGATGCACTCGGAGGAAGAGGCCCTCCGGTGGGCTCCTCGCCCTTCGCCCTCCTCGAGTCGGCACGGCGGCGGGCCGGCGGCGGGGGCTGCGGGGTCCCCCCCACTGGGGCTCATTTCTCTGGGAATGGTCGTCGATTCATCATTGCGCTTTGTCCTCATTGTGCGAGGGCGGGGGGCGGCCCGAGCTTCCTTACACCGGGAGGCTGACCTCCGCTCCGCGCAAACGCAATGTTATTAATGAAGACCTAAAAGCTGTCTGTCGCCGACCTGTCACGCAATCAAATTAAGTCGGGAGAAAAATGACCGTCCCGTCCACGTCGCGCCGCGGTCAGGTTTACCAGCGCGTCATGATAAAAGCCCCCCTTCCTCGCACTCAGGGTCTCTTACCTTGTAGATGCCGAGGTCATCCACCAGGCAGGTGAGGACGGCCTCCCTGCCGAGCGGGGCAGTCTCGTTCACGATGGGTGCGTGAAACTTGGGGTTATCTGGAACACACACAAGGGAAAAGAATTAAAAACTTTTATGCTTTCCTTTTTTTATTGTACAATATATATATCGTGCTTGGGTGAAGGATGGAAAATAAAAATAACGCCCCCCTGAAAAAGAAAAAACAACACGATGACAAGGATCCCAATTACCGTGTGCCGCTCGATTTGAGCGAAAAGCCCGACGAAATGAAGCGTTGCTCGGGTCAGGGCCGTCCTCGGGAGGACAGAGGAGGGGGAGGGGCGCTGGTGGGTGGGAGGGAGGGAGGGAGGGGGAGGACGACTCGGGGTCACCGGGACTGGATGACGAGCAGCGGCATGAGCCTCGCAAACTTTCGTCAGGAAGAAAGCTGAAAAGATGGCAGTAGTCACTAACACGGGTTAGGCCACCGAGATTGTCTGCACTCTTCCCTCCTATATCCCCCCACGCACATACACACACGCACACCTGCTCATCCCGATCTCATTCCTCTCCGTGCCGATGGCGTGGCGGAGCGTGGCGTTGCGTATAGCGTGAGGACCCCCACTAAATCAAAGCCCATCGAACAACAGAGCGAGCCGAGCCGAGCGGGGGTAGGAGGAGGCAGGCGGAGGGGAGTGGGCAGCAAGGGCTGCAGCAGCGCGCGAACTTGGGGCGGGCTGCGTCGAGCCGGGCACAACAGCGGCACAAAGGGCGCGCTTAAATTTATTTGTTCACACATTCAGGGCAAAGTGTAAAACGGACTGGCGCGCAAAGTGAAAAGCAGCAGAAGCGGCACTTACTCTAAACGGCCGCCGCGTACTCTCGGCTCCGACTCCCGTTCATACACAACACGCACTCGAGAGCATTGCGGTGGCGTGACAGGAGGGCGGAGGGAGGTGGAGGGGGAGGGAGGAGGTGGGGATCTCCGCCCGAGGGACTCTTTGATGAGACACGCGGGGTGATATGCTAATAGTGCCTGTCGGGGATTGGAATGTTTCAGAAGGGGAGGGGGAGGGGGGAAAGCGAGGAGGAGCCCAAGGATGAGCCGACTGGGGATCCCATCAGCAGCCCAACCTGAGGTGTCACACTCGGTGAGGTGTGAAACCCAGAATGTGTTTGTGCGTCAGGTGCGTGTGTGTGTGTGTGTGGAGGAAATGTACGCGCGGGAATGAAGGGGCCCACAACGCCACCAAACAGGACCGCAGAGGAGGAGGAGGCATTTCAATTGTGTGTCTTCCGAGACACGAATCCCGCAAAATGATGTGGTGGTGGCAGTGGCTTTGATACCCATAGTAGAGCGCCATCCATGAGACGGGGTGATTCAGTGGAAATGGGGGGGGGGGGCGATGTTGGATTAAGATGTGCCTTAATCAAGTTCCACAAAGGTATAACAAGGTGACACGGTGCGCGTTGCCAACCATCCGTGTAGTAGTAATCCTCACTTTCCACTCCCCCTTCTTTTCTTCCGTGCTAGTTTTCTTCCCCTTTCTTTGGGGCCGATCTATACGCACCGTAACAGCAAGTTAGCCGTGCGGACTAACGCCCCGGGCACACGCACCGCCCCGCCGCGCCACGCGCTCCCCGCCACGCCGCGCGCTCCAGCACGACTCACCATCTCTCCTCCACATTACGATGCGCGGATGCAAAACAACGTGGCGGGAGCAGATGAAAAGGCACTCGGGAAGAGAGAGAGAGAGAGAGAGAGAGAGAGAGATTACCCTGAGAGGTCGGTAGGTTTGGCCCCTCCTGGGCACCGCCGCGCTCAACCACAGCCGACAGAGCAAACCACACACGCCGAGCACTGATCCGAAAGAGGAGCGGCGGCAGCGGTGGCAGCGGCGGCCGGAAAGCCGCTGGGCTTGGGAGCAGCCAGTCCAGCAACCCGGGGTCCAGCACGGCATGCGCGGCATCCCCTCTGTCATCTCGCTCACTGCCGGCGCATCATCACATTTTGATGAATTACGCCTAATCCTTAAAGCCGCTCGGCGCTTTCAAGCCGTTCCGGAAACTGATCGGGAAACTATTTTGACGTCCCAGAGGCACTCAGGCAGCTGTGCACAACACACACACACACACACACACGCACGCACGCACACACACACACACACACACACACACACACACACACACACGTAGCAACGCGTGCATTACCACTTTCCACCACAAAGGTTGCGGCACCCAGCGAAAAGATTCGCAAAAAAGAATTACAATATCATGAACTGGTTCTTCTTAATATTAGAGACTAATTCTTTCTAAATGCAAACAAATGGGTACAATTGGGAAGGCTGGAGAAATTATTTGCAAGATCAGAAAAGAATTCGTATTGCAAATTACGTAAACTTATCGGAACCCCAGAAAAGAAGTTAATAACATTTTTCCGGTGCGTTTTACGACCAAATGTTTTACAAACGCAACATCCTAATAAAGATGTATGCAAAGCCTAACCATAGGAACGTCTATGGATGGAGAAGAGAAAACTAGATGGACAGATCGCTCATTTGGTCGTGCACGCATGACGTCGCAATTATCCTCTATCGAGAAGCATATGTGGTTGTATAGTAGCGCCATGCATGAGCTATTTGTGGGCGGCGGGGGTAAAAGATAGGCCAATATAGCTAAACGAATGTGGTAGTAGGTGGCCGCGGGCAGGCCAGGAGGCAGGCAGGCATTGCCACAACATGCACCACATTCATATTGCAGCCGAGTTGCTTCGTTCGTCCGGCCGGAAGACCAGGTTGCCACGACCACGTCACGCCACCTCCCTCTGTCAGTCCCACGCCAACCGCGCAATTTTAATGGCATACACTCATCTAATATTTCACATTTTTTCGAAGGTGCGCCGCCCTTCAATTTTTACTTCTTCTCTTGTCCTCTTTTTGCTTTTGCGATCGTCCTGTACAGCTACTTATCGTAACCACCGTAAACATCCCCTCCCCCCAACCCTTACTCTCGACACATTCGTTCGCATTCCAATTTTACCCTGAACGCCCCAATGAACATCAACTTCAGCTTCCCCCGTTGTGTGTATATTTAATCGTATCCTCTTTGGCTCTTGTCGCTCCATGCAGGGCAGCTATTCCCTACACACCACTTTCATAATTCAGCCTCATTTCCGTCATTTGCGCTGCTCTCTCTCCTACTACCGCCACTTGCTCGCTCACGCTCACCCCGCCCACTCGCTTACTCGCTCACTGCTCACCCGCCAGGGCAGATCCCTCCTGTTATCCGCCCCCACAAGCTACATCATACACCTGGCATTTGAAGCTCAGCGGCAACTGCTGCTTGACATTTTGAGCGAGCAATCCAGACATTCACGTTGTGTTCGCAGTCCGTCACTCATGCTATCGTTCGACGACTCACACTCAACGAGTCGGCAAACTTAACACATGAAAACCGGTCTATACTGCTGAATTTCTTTTTGTCAAAGGGAATAACGATGTTGAAAAACAATAACGTTGTTGACAAAAACAGCGACTGTCTAAAAAAATGTAAAGCATGACATTTTTTCAGCACGGCCCATTTTTCCGACATTTTTGTTGACCGCAGCCAATGGAGAGGAATGAACTAGCCTTTCCTCTCTTCCTCAACGAATAATAGTAAACTGCTCCCCAAATGTGCCATTTAAATGCCTTTATAAAGGCGTTGAGGAATTAGTGCTCTATGTAAAAGGTGCGAAGTCCGAGCCCTTTTTCCAGTGATGCCGTGACGTCCGCGGACATGTACCACACGGGGTCGAGACGTAAATAGGTTGTGAGGGGGCGTCGCCACAGACTTGACAGCTAGCCGAGCCGAACACGGGTGGTCTAATGCGTGCACTTTGCACAATGAGTGTCGCTGCCACTTCTCTGTCATGTTTGGCGACAGCGGCACTAGGCAGAGCGATCACGACAACATTACATGCAAGTCGATGAGACGCGGGCTTGCGTCAACATGTAACGCAAATGTAAAGTCACGCGACATTCACAATCTGCAAGTCATTGGGCGCCGAATCGTTTCGGCTGCGCGAGCAATCCCAAACCAGCGAAACGGAGAATGCGCGGGCGCACCCCATTCCCTTCTCCCCACACTCACAACAGCGGTCGTGACAACAAGCCAGGCATTTTACGCGAGTGTAATTAAAAACTTTTGTTGATTGCGTGGCGTTCACGCACGGCGCGCAAGAGCTGATTAGCCCACTAGTTCATTAAAACTTACAGTATCAAATCAGGGTCACTTTACTTTGAATTCTTTTTGGTTGCGCATCCGATTGAGGTCCAGAAATACAGTGCAGGGGCAAGAGGACTTGAACGGTATCGCGTGGCACACTCCGAAGTGCTGTCAGCGCAACTCGGACTCTCCGACTAAAAACAGACCGCCCGTCCGCCCCCAATTAGCAGTACAGGTGTGACAGCGTGACAAGCACAAGCACAAACAAGAAAAGTTTCGTACGTTATACAGTAACGGTAGCCAGGCTGTGTAGCAAAGAAAGTGAACAAAAGGTGACAAGTGGCAATAATGGGTTATTCTAGCTTAACATACTGGAAAAGTCATCGACAAGCTCTTTTTGTTGCGGGACTTTTTTCCAGTCTGAGCAGACGAAAGTTTCGAACCGAACAAACGAAAACCGGGCAGAGCGCGGCCCCGATGGAGAACGACCACGCCACCGCCCCGTGCAACAGGTGCGCTGCTGCCTGCCCCCCTCCGCCCTCATCCCAAGCGCGTCGCTAACACTTTGAAAAATACATACACTGTGAGTATTTGTGTGTGTGCGTGCGGGCACGGCGTGAGGTAGGCCTGCAGGGAGTTCAGGCACCGTTCAGAGGAGGAACAGGGAACCATTTGCTGATAGACGATAACAAATCCTCCAAAATATCCTACAAACGAATCCTTAAGCTTCTCGTGGTATGCCTGTGCCGAGGTCGAGGTGTTCCCTTTCAGTTGTCCGAATTTGACTCCTGAGGCTGCTATGGTTGTTCCGATTCGGTCGAAATCACAATAACAGTCCGTTGGCTTCTCTCAGGAACCGTTCCCTCTTCCGTCTCCTTTCCAGGAGCGTTCT